ATAATAATAATAATAATAATAATAATAATAATAATAATAATAATAATAATAATAATAATAATAATAATAATAATAATAATGCGCTATTTAATATCGCATCCACTTCCTCTATGCACTTTAAATTAATTACCTCCTTGAATCGAGACGTTTAGTACTCAAACTTGTAACATTGTTCGAATTTGTAAATAATACCCATTATGTAACTCCTGGCATTTTAAATGAACCAGCGCGTCGTAGTACACAAAATAATCACTCAAAGCCTCTCGTACTGTAGTTCCAAAATGTAGAACTCGTGCATCAATGATTTTCCCAATCTGCCATAGCTCAGTGGAATAGCCTTCCAAACAACGTAATTAATTCTGATCACGCATAAAGTTTTAAAAAGAAATTGCTATCGCATATTTCATAAATTGTATCCTGTTTCAAAATTCAAATGTTCTTAATTTTCTCAAAAGTGCTATAATGTAATCTTTATCTGTGGGTTTTGATTGTATTGTTGAGTAGGCCATTACTATTAGCTAGCGCTATTTGGTCTCTCCTGGGCTATGGCAGTTGGTTTTATTTCTATTTTTCGATCTCTTTTTTTTTTTTAATGTTTTCATGTATGTTCTTCATATATCGTTTGCCCAAACTATTATAAAATAAAAATTAAAAAAAAAATTTTGGATCACGCATCTTTGAAACCTCAGCTCATCGCTTTGTATTAGATCTTGCCAGGTAAACACTTACACTTTATGATGGAGACAACGTATGTTACACATAGACACAATAACATACACAACGGGAAACTCAAAACCCATACAAGAATATTGAAAGCACAAGCCTCAAACGCTTCGGTAACCGCGTTCCATTTACAATGAACCTTGCAATGAACTAGGCCTACATTATTATTATAAAGTTCCATACCTACAATACTCTGATATAAACATTCATTAAATATCCATGAAATTATTCTTCTTAATCAGTCATTATAAATGTGTTTCTAACGAGCTATGCCCAACTTGTGTACCACAAATATCGCATCGCCACTTTAGTAGAGAATGTTTCACATTTATTTTCATGGAGATATTCCAACTCTAAAGAAGTTATTCTTTACCTAAAAAGGGTACAGAATAACTCCTTTGGAGTTAAAATAACTCTTGAAAATAATAGTGTTCCTACACAAAGAGCTATGAGCAATGTGAATGAATGGGTGGATGATGTGTATGACAAGGTATTCAAGTTTTCGTACATGCCGAGTATATTTACCTTGTTCACAGAATTCTCCAGTGAATCCTTCCATGCACGTACAGCTGGACATGTTTCCCTTCGAAGAACAAGTCGCACCATTTTTGCATAAATTGTTGACACATGGATTTACTTCAAGAGGATCTTTACATTCAAAAATCAACAACGATATTTATTTATTTATTAGACTTTACACTGACAATTCAATTTTGGAACACGACGGTAGGGTAGCCTGTAATGGACAGGGAAAACAGGATGTAAAGCACCTCCAAAACAGCCCAAACCATACTATAACCGCAATAAAAAAAAAAAAGAAAAAACAATAAAGTACATACTATAGGCATAGTTTTATATGTTTTTATCGACCCTCACCTCAAATCGTATATTTTAGTACATTTTGAAAGATGTAAAACTATCGCACAGACACAATCCAAAAACATGTAGGCCTATGTCAAAAAGACGTGTTGCGGCAGTCCTGAAAGTTATATAATAATTATGAATTCTTACCATCTTGACAAGGTTCTCCAATATCATTGATATATTCTAGTTTCTCAGAATCTTGACCAATAGTTGTTACGAACATAGCAACGGATGAAAATCCATACCAGACGGCAGTAAACTTCAGGCGGTCATCTCCCGTTGTTATTCGATGGACGCCGGGTTTCAGTTTACCACTTAACGTGCAGAAGCCAAAGTTTTCTTTCTCAACAGTATCGGTTAACTGGCCCATGTTCTGACGCATTTTAGCGTATTGCGCATTTCCACAAGGTTGATCTGTTATTAGAATTAAGTGGTTAGAAAACGAGTAAACAATTGAGTTTGGTGAAGACGAGGTCGTATTAATCGTAGAAAATATAGTACTAGTTACAAATTGCTCAACGGGAGTGATAACGGACAACGATGGGTGTGATTCATTGCATATTGACATGTATTCTTGAAAGCTGTCACAGAGATCCTTTCCACGGGTTCCATATTGCGCTATTAATACTGGATTATCGGCAACTAGTGTCTTAGTGATGTCACCATCGAGAATAAATTCATAAAATTCACCCGCGTTAATGGTCTGTGCAAAACCTTGCTCTGGAAGGTAAACTGTTGTGTTGTTCCGTACAGCAATTGCTCGGCATACCGTATCGCCAAGACGAAAACTTGCGACAATATAGCGTTTTCCTAGCTTGGTTACCGGAGGTATCTGAGTGGCCATATATTCGCACGCATTGCTGAAGTCGCTAGTGTAGCCGCAACTGTTCCCGGAGATAACTGAAATAGGTGACGAGGCTCGAATATGGGATCCAGTGATATCGTTCTCACTTGTTATCTGGAAAGTCTGCCCACTGTCCAGTGTGAATGACAAACTGTCTCCATTCTGATATATCTTTAATAGAGAATAAATAAAAATATCTTTTAAAGTGCACCGTTAAATTCATTAAATTTATTTAATGATTAAATTCGATTCTAACAATTTTAATGAATATCATATTATGTGTTGTGAAAGTGCCAACTTGCCAATGTGACGCTTACTTTTTGTTGGTAGGTCACAGCACCTGTCAGTTTGACAGCTACAGTTGTTCCATCGCAAGAAGCTGTCACCATTGCTTGGGACCTTGAAGCATATCGTGGAGGCGATGATGCAACAAAATGCTCTGACCCAAGATTTGTGACAGGTTCCACCAAGAACGCATCTACACTGTACGCATGCGTATCGACGACTGCATACACAATGACGTTGTTTGTTGTCAAGATCGTTATGGTGTTATTCTTCAGACCAGATGCATGATCAATATTTGACATGATCTCGCTAGGTAGACGCACGGTTACTTCTTCGTTGTGCATGATTTTAAAGTGCTTTAGAAATCCGATTCCCACTGCGGATATAAATACAAAACCAGGCTCCTCGCTAATAGAGTGAATTTGTAACGATGGCCCTACGGCAACTAGGTGATTATACGGGAAAGCAAAGAGGAAGTAATTTCCATTACTATTCCAGTTTCCTGCAAAATATAGCATCGCATATTTAAAAATCATAATAAATACTATGCATCTTTTGTAACGGATTTTGTTGTGAATTAATTAATTATACAACTAAAATATTGGAATTTATAAATAAAGTTGTGTGTAAATCCGTAATTCGAACGCGAATTACGGATTTACACATTTAAGTTGACTGAAAACTTTTTGTTGAGGGAAGAGATCTTTAATTCTTCATTGCCGCAAAATGGTTTTTAAATAGCTTGAATGGCAGAGTCCACCCATACATTCGTGTTACAGTTTTACAGCAGTATTATTATAATACTATGCCTAGTCTAATATTTCCGTCGCTTGTGAATAACCCTGTGTTCCTTGGAAGGAAGTCATCATATCTGCTAAATGACATGCTTCCACAAAAAGGTACAGTAGGTTATGCTACCTTCAACCAATGTTTTTCTAATTTCTAAAATATACTCTAACTACTTGAAATTGCAGATTTGTCCGTTGAATTTCTCAGAAACATCAACATCACCTTTACCATTAGGCATTATCAGGAGCAACAAAAACAACCAACATCGGAACCAAAAATATTCATGAATATAATGATAACCTAACATGTTTTGTATTACGAAGATAGAAATATTTAATATATATATGTTTTAAACTTGGATTCGTTTAGGGAAAGAAACGCAGAAGAAGCAGACAGACAGACCAGTTGCAAAAGACCTGGAAATGTCAACAGCCGACGTACTTGGAACTACAGCTAATCGTGCGACCTGGAGCAGGACAGGACACAAGGAAGAATAATAAGATTTGATAAGAAAAATATATTTTCTTTAAATTTACAAAGAAAGCTTTCTCTATTATACAAACATTCAATACAAATATTAGTTTTCAAGTATATTCTATTAGTTCACCTGTTTAAATGAATATTAATGATATGAGACAAGTTGAACAGGATAGTGTAATAATAACAGTAAATGATTCATAGATATTCGGTTTCTTACCAACCATAACATCGTTGTTCAGCATCTGGATATGTAATCGAAAGTATGGTGAGTAACTGGAGGCCGGCTATGAACTGTGTCGGTGTCCATTAAGCAACGACATGGGAATTAGGATAGGCACGATAACCTGTGTCATTTCCACTACCAGTATACTTATTTGGCAAGTTATTTAATTCATGTATATTGTCCCTTGAAAATGACAAATCATCATTAAAAAAAAAATTTTAAAAATTAACTTGCTCATTGTGCAATAACATACAAATAACAGTTTTAACTTAAGCATGGAAATTATTTAATTTAAAAAAATGTGTACTCTGATTTTGAAACTGGATAATTTTAATAATATAAACAATAAAACACTTCCAGTGATTGGAAGTGTTTCTATCATTTTCGCTGTAAAATTATTGGTTAACATTTTTTTAAAATACTAATTTCTATGTTCAAGTTGATATTTTTTATGTTTTACTTCAAAACGAGCAAGTTAATTAAAAAAATTATTTTTATAATTTTTTGGTGTTTTGCGTGGGAAAACACATCTTTAAGACATAATTGGAGTGTGGAGTTGAATAACTTGGTGGTTAAGATAAAAAAAAAATTGAACCATTAAATGATAAAATAAATAATGATTAATTTGGAATTGTTATGTGCATAGAGTTTTAGATAGGCGCTATATAAATTTACAATAATAATAATAATAATAATAATAATAATAATAATAATTATAATAATAATAATAATAATAATAATAATAATAATAAAAATAATGTAGTTTGGTAGCTGTTATGGAGTATTTATTATTATTATTAGGGCTATTATTATTATTATTATTATTATTATTATTATTATTATTATTAAATGTTAAATAATGGTAGGCCTATACACATTCAAATCTAATCAAATTAATTCAGTTGTTTATTTTAATCAGGGAACAGTAAATTGACCTGCACGGATCTAGCAACATGTTCATGTTTATTTAACCATCGCATAACTATGTTAAGAAGGCAGTGGGTTCATTGATTCCTTAGCATATTGAAGAGATCTGAGCAGTAGTCAATCATTATAATTGGTATAGTATGTCAAGTGTAGGCCTAATCAGAACGGAGGATGCAAAACAACACCTCGACCATGGAAGTATAAAAATTCAACCAGCTTAACACATTGAGTGAATACCACGTTGGCATCATGAATCCGTTCATTGACAAGCATACTTTTTGAAATAACAAACGTTGCTTCTGTGCATTATTTCGTTGTTGCTTGTGGGTTATTCCAGTACACCTATTAACAACTTGAGAAACAACTTAAAACAGCGTGTAAGTTCACAGTTACTTTTATTTTATTTATTCACCTTCACATAGGCAAATATACAATAAAATATCAATCAAATAAAAAGTTACCGGTGACGGGCCAACAGGTGAACAATCGCACTCTGATTGCGACCGATTCCGAATTGCACATATAACAAGGTATAAAACCAAGTACAGTAAATGAAATAAAGTTTGTAAAAAGGTGCTCTATACATAAAAGAAGTTATATGGTTATATAGGCCTACTTCTTATAGGCCAACTTCATAATTGAAGACTTCGGCCCAGCAGCGCAACCGGGTGTTGTAGAAATACCTACCATGGGATTTGTGCAGTATTTACAATTATTTTTTTCCCTGTTATTTCACCTGTTTAAAAGATATATTAATAATATTCCCATATTGAACAGGACAGTGTAATAATATCAGTCAATGATTCATAGTTACTCGGTTGCTTGGCCAACCATAACATTATTGTTCAGCATCTGGATATGTATTTCAAAAGTATGGACCAAATGGACCATGAATTTCCAACATATTTAATGGACAATAAGTGGGGGTTTTTTTAAGTTTTTTTTAAATTTTGTTTAAAATTTAATTACTCTAGACCTTGAAAAACAAACAGTTGATATTTGTTAGTGCAGAAGAGTATAACTGCCACTGTGCCGTACACCGGCAATTTGAGGTAGTCTGGTCTGATTAAGTGTGTGACAGTGAACATTATATGACGCCATAAATTAACATGACTGTTTTAATATATAATTACATGTAAAAGGCTAAATATTTTCTATTTTATATATTATACTAATAATAATCATGAGTTTTCGATTTTAAATAATTGACCATCGTGGTAACTTGTTTTTAAAATTAATAATTAAATAAATTAAATTAAAAATATGAAAAATCTGGACCCATTCTCTTAAAATTTTACGCTTTTTCAAACAGTGGATTCATTTTATGCCTAAAATTGCATAATTTGGACCCATCTTTAAAAATGTGGACCCTTTCTTTGTGGACCCATTAGAAAAATTGTGTGGGACTGTCCCAATAGCTGGCTAGGGCATTGTTTATGATTAGAATATTAGTATTCAGGGTGGCGCCAGGATTTGCCCGACGGGAGAGGGGGAAGTCCCCGACGGGGGGCCGATGTCCCCGACGGGGGGCCGATGCCCCTGACGTGTGGTCAGATTTCCCCGACGAAAGCAAAGTGGGGCGTGGTCGAGCTTCGATTAAAAGGTTTTGGAAGCGGTCCAGGTGGCGAACCCCAGAAAATTTCACACTTTAGGAGTTTCAAAGGCTTATTTAATCGATTTTAGAGTCTACTAATATGTAGAAAATATATATAATTTTTTTTTCTCCCCGAAGGTGGGGGAAACTCTCCCCCCCCCCGCTGGCGCCACCCCTGTTAGTACGGTATTAAACATAAAATTAAAATTATACTCATGAGTATGATTATTATTTTGATGATGGGAAGAGAAAGAAAACGTGGATATGAAAGGACTTTGCCCAACGACTCAAGCAAGTGATCAGTGAGAATGGAACTCGGATTAGCAACTCGTTTTATGATAACTTTTAAATAAATACGAAATAGAGTAAATCAATATTCAAAATGTAACTATCCCATGTATGGTACATCGTGCCACGAAGCATGGAAGTTTACTATCACAAATATATGCATATATTTTTTGAAATGTACATACCTGATGCAAGCGAAGCAACTGTAAGTAATACAACCCAAATAAATGCCATTGTGTGTGCTTCGGTAAGTAGATTTCCAAGTTTATTAGATTTATTACTTTATCTTGACGCTTTTAGTGTCTTTATTCAAAACAAGGAGACACAACGAGGGCGGTATTTATCCCTCTCCTGTTTTTTTTTTTAGCAAATCGGATCAATAATGCATTTTGAAGATGACCGTTTAGATAGTCACAATCATGTTCGTCAAGAGGCTTAAGTCCTTTTGTAGCCTATATCATAACTTGAATAATATTGATTCTGCCAGTCTTTAAAATCGTGAAAATATCTAGTCCATGATTACTGGCTCTGTACGGTTGACAAGTTTGACAGCTATCTAGCAGATAGTATTTTCTTTTTCCGGGATTTAATATATATAGGGTCAGTTTAGTGATAATAGATTAGAGGGGCCGTGGAAGCGGAAAGGAATCGATTAATGGAAATGCCTAACATTGTGTTTGCATACATATAACTGGCGTGATATCAGACACGTGGTCACGTAACTAAAACTTAGATTGTATCTAATTGTCTGTATAATCTTCGTATGTCACTTCGGAACTCGAACAAACCCCAAGGAACTAAAAGGTTTTTGGTTAGAAAACAGGAAAGTATAATGTATATAGTCATACTAAAACCGGAATGACTATTTACGTACTTACAAAAAGGTAAAAAAAAAAGGTTTTGTAAACGGTAAATAGGAGTGCGACTGCTGTCTCTTATACACATCTAGATGGTGATCAGAATTATCAATGAAATTGATGCTATTCCACGTATACCCCGGCTATAGAATGGTTGACAGACATGAAAGTACTGCAGGACACTTTGACTTAATTGAGACATTGAATTTTATTTGTACTAAATTTTCGGTAGCACCTGCTACCTTCATCAGCGTACGAGTATCTAAAGATATATATTACAGCAAACAGTATATACATGTTAACAATTTAGAGATGACGATGGATATTTTATATAAACAATGTAACAAAGAAGTGGATACTAATCTGATAGGACTAAGATAATAAATTAAACCATTAAGAATAATTAGCCATCAAAATAATTAAGGATGAAATAGGCGAGAAATGATAAATCAATCAATATATAATAAAATATGTATAAATAGAGGCCTATGATAAATTACAGGAATGAAAAACGAAAACTGTACTAAAGAGTGATGAAACATTATTTAGTGAATGTAAGCCTGAAGCAAAACCTAGGTCCTTATTAGCTCCTATTTTATGAGTCCTAAGTTTCAAAATCTATTTTATTTCTGCACATCTTCTTTCATTAAGTGATCTGAAGTTGTTATCAATAATGATACATCTCATATTATTAATGGTGTGTCTAGCTCCGTTAAAGTGTTTAGCTAAAGGAAGATTATAATTGTTTCTTATATATACACAATAGTCCGGTGGGACTTCAACCTGCAACCTCTGACTATCACACCACTGATATACTGTACGCCCACATATAAAATGGCCAACAGACCAGATATACTTCTAGCTTTTCGCCGTGGAAAATTTTGAAGTAAATACTAGGCCTAAACAAATAGGTGGATAATAAACAGTGAAATTTAACTTTAGATTTAGAAAAAAAACTGAGGAAAAATATATTGAAATAAATAAGGACAAGTTTAAAACAGTAAAACATCCGATGACAAAATGTTTAAAGAACTTTGGTGGTCAGGTTCACCTATGTATACAATTCGTTCAGCATTATATACTTCTTGATCGACTTACAAATTCTACTAAATCATGGAGGTATGATTAAATACAGTACAGTATAGTATCATATTTCTCATATTACTCAGAAGCCACCCAATTTGTCAAAATTATTTTTTAAAATGGAGGGAAAAAAATCGTATCTAAATTTATTCCCCTCCTCTTCAAGACCACTCCAACAAAATGGAAAAAATAACATCTGAGCGCTTTGGTGCAGTTTTGTATATTAGGTATTAAAAGTGAGTAGTTCACTATCATTATCATAATAATTTAACATAGGTTTTAAATTAATTTGACTACTATCAACTATTTTAGACAGTAAAATTATGGTTGCAACAACAATATATAACTAAGAAAACTGCAAACCAATATAGATATAAAATGAGTATCTTTATTGTAATTATTATTATTATTATTAATATCAGCAATATTATAATTGATTAATTTAATTTTAATTTATAACTTAAGACTACGTTAACAAGACCTTGGGCACTTATTTTCATATCAAGGTCCAAGCTCATAGAATGTATTGTCGACTCTGTGCAGATCTTAATAGTCAATTTAATGAATTTCTATATTCAATGGGTCTATATTATATTATATTATATTATTATATTATTAGGCTTATGTGTTTTATTTCTGAATACAGTTTTTTTTAAATGTATTTATTACATAACAATCCTCAAGCTATAATATATATTATTGTGGATTAATCATGCACTTTTGAATGAATAGAATCTCTAATTTAGATTAGTAGTCAATTTAATGAATAGATTAGAACTGATTTCTCATTGTGCTCAAGCGATATCCACTAGATTTATTTGAAGTGCTGAACGTGGCCATCGCTTTAAAAATGTACAGAATGGAGCCAAGACCACGCCCTCATACAACTTCTTCTATCGTTGAGACGGTTGTCCACTTACTGACACAGAGCTCGGCTGAGAATATAGGCCTATTTGTATATATAATAAGTACTGTAGCCGGATATAAGCCAGTATTAGTCAAATTGACTTTGTATATATAATAAGTACTGTAGCCGGAGATAA